GCTTTAACCACTTGGCTTGCTTGATTGTAGCACGTTTCGCATTCATAAATAACCTGTGCAATAGTGTCCCTGGTCAAGTTCACTCCTCGATCATGAGCCCATCTATATATTGCATCCCATCTTTTATGGCCTGAGGTGTCATGGGCCCACTGAGCTAAAAATAATTCACTCTGATGTTGCCAGTCCAGATTTACCTGCGCCACTTCGATCTTAGCAGCCCAATCCACCTGCTGGTTGTTCTGGTGTTCCTCAGTGGCTCAACTCTTAGGTACAGCTCTATGCCAGCCGAAACCAGGACATCACTTAACACCGATCTGGAAGCTCCCTCAAAGCAGATTTGTAGAGATCACTGCACATACACTGACTTGGGCAGTTACAGCTACCATTAACAGTTCTATTAAACAGGTTTATGAGGACTAAAGCCCACAAAGAAAACATGCTAACACTTCACTCTCCTTCAATTTAAGCCCATCTGCACTATATATGCATGCTGCAGCTGTTCACCTTGTTTTGACAGGGCTGGAATTAAAGCTAAGCCAGGGTCTACAACTCATATTGACATTAACAGCTTGACTAAGGTAGCTGCCCACTCTGCCTACCTTGGAAGAGCACAGAGCAATTCACACGTTCAGACAATCAGACTGGAGACACAAGTTTATTGCTACAACACCCAAGAGAGGCTAACCCCTAAATATATGCAGTTCTCATGTACAGAAAGAGGCACTTGTTTCATGAGAGAAACTCCTTGGGAAGCACTGACTCACCAGATAGGTCAGAAGGCTTGAAAGGTCTTGCCCTTACTTCATATTCATATTGACAAACATATATCTTCTGCTACAAGGCCTCCAGTACCAGAGCAAGCCAACACTGCTTTCCATTTGCCATGCTGATTTGTTGCCATGGGAATTTAACTGGACAAAGAGGAGACGCTGCTGGTAGTGTCTGCTCTGTTGAACACAAATGTCCCAAGATAAGAGGTGCAGCTGCTTTCCAAAGAAGACCCAGAAGTAGGAGGTAAAGTAAGAAATATACTTACAACTAATAAACATATGATGCAGTGCTGCTACTTTTTGTTGCTGTTACAGCTGTATCTCTAATCATTACAGCAGTGCTTGGAATTCAAGTACAATCTGAATAGGTAGAGGACCAAGATTGTTCCATGTCTAAGGGAAGCACAGCGCTGCACAAAGATAAACAGTGCAGAGGGACAGACTGTCAGAGCAGAGCAAGACAGAGATCAGAAAGGAGTGGTACAAAGAGGCAGGCTTGCAAATACAGGGATAAGATACTGGAAATAATATGAATTACAGAAGAAGCAATGCCATGCAGGTGAAGTCTTGGGAACATGAGATTGTGAAACCTCATTTTGAATAGATTGAGTAGGACAAAATAGAAGGTAATACAATTTAGAATTTTTTATAAGGAATTAGATGTTAAGGGTGAATTTTTTATCAAAGGGAGTGGCAGGTGAGTCACAGAATTGCTTAGGCTGATTAGTCCAACCTGCTTGCTCAAGCAGGGTCAGCAAAAGCAGGCTTCCCAGGACTGTCTCCAGTCTGGTTTTGAGAATTCTCCACAGGTGAAGACTACACAACCTCTCTGGACAACCTGTTCCAGTGTTTGACCACCTTCACAGTAAAAAAAGTGTTTTCTTGTGTTCAGTTTTAATTTCTTTCTTCTTTTTTAATATTTTATTTTATTTTTAGTTTGTATCCATTGGCTGTTGTCCTGTCACTGGGCTCTATTGAAAAAAGCCTGGCTCCCTCTTCCTCATTTTCTCCCATCAAGTATTTATACATATTGATAATGTCCCCCTGAGCCATCACTTCTCCAGGCTAAACAGTCCCAGCATTCTGCCTCTCCTCATATGAAAGATGCTTCAGTCCCTTAATCATCTTTGTGGTCCTGCCCTGAACTTGATCCAATATGATCCAACTTGATCCAACCAAGGTCTCTCTGAGTGGCAGCACAACCCTCTGGTGTAACAGCCACCCCTCCTGGTATTGAATCATTTGTGAACTTGCTGAAGAGGCCCTATCATCCAGGTCATTAATGAAGAAGGTAAACAGTATTGGCCCCAGTATCAGTCCCTGAGGTATACCACTAATGACTTGCTTCCAATTGACTTTGTGCCACGTATCACAACCTCTGGGCCTGTTTTTTCAGCCATTTTTCAATTCACCTCACTTGTCTATTTTTTTAACCCATACTTTGTCAGCTTGTCTACTAGGATGTTGTGGAAGACAGTGTTAAGAGACCTGCTAAAGCCAAGGTAAACAACATCCCACTGCTCTCGACTTGTCTAGTTAGCTCACTGTGGAAGGTTATAAGGTTGGTTAAGCATGACTGACTTCCCCTTTGTAAATCCATACTGACTACTCTTGATCACTTTCTTGTCCTTCCTGAGATTAGAAATGGTGTCCAGGGTTAGTTCCTCCATCACCTTCCCATGGATTCACTTGAAGCTGGTTGGCCTGTTGTTCGCTTGGTCTTCTTTTTTGCCGTTCTGGAAGACAAGTGTGACACTTGCATTCTTACAGGCTTGAGGAACACTCCCAATTGCCATGGCCTTTCAAAGATTATCAGGAGTGGCCTCCCAGTGACATCAGTCAGCTTTCTCAGTACTTCGTTAGGCCCTAGGGACTTATGTATGTTGGTTGTTTCCTTCCTAAACTGGTCCTCCTCCACCCAGGGTAAGTCTTTCTTGCTCCAGACTTTTTCTCTGGGAAAAAGAGCCTTGGGATTCCTGAAAGGTAGGATCATTTGCTTATAGCAGACCTAATAAGGTGCTCCAAATTTGCTTGCAATACAAGGTGGAATGTCTGATTTAGGTGCACACAAATCCAGCATAGAGATAGGTGTCTTTCTGATAGTGAAATAGTAGCATGTGGCTCACCACAGATCATATTACCTTAGAAACACAGGGAAAACTAGGACTGGCTTTTTGATGCCGTTGCCATTTGTTTTCTTAAAAACATCTGCTTTTCTGAAAGGTGGAGGCAAAATCAGTGGAAATGCACAGAGAAAAGCTACTCCTATAGCATGTTTCATTTCCATTAAGATGGTTAGAGTCAACATTTTTGTACCGTGATTAGAGAGCTACATGCAATAAATAACAAGAGAGAATGAGCTTATAGGGTCCATTTTAGTTCTAGGTACAAAACCGATTAATTACCAGGAAGAAGAAGAAGCAGCATGTAGAAACAGAAGAAAAAATTACGTATTTGCTGGCATTTCTGGAACACATGTGCAAGTCAGCTGATTGATCCCTCTTTTCTGGGTAAAGGCTCATTACCTGCAGGAAAAGAAATCTCACCACACAGAACAGCTCAAGCCTGTAAGAAGCCTCAAATCCCTGGCCTATTAAATTTGTTTAATCTACTCTCCCCCGGCATGCGTGCTAACAAGGAAGACGAATGATGTCATTGTGAGGCCACTCAATGATCTTTGAAAGGTTATGGCAATTGGGAGAGTTCCTTAAGACTGGAAGGAAGCAATTGTCATTCACATCTTCAGGAACAAGTTCACAGAAAAACCTTTTCAATTCTTCACTAGTGAAGGATAACACAGAAGTCCTGATGATGCAAAGCAGTGATATGTATGTTTGACTTCATAGTTTCTTGTCCTTTTAGAATGCCCTGTATGTCAAGTTCTTCCATCCAAAGGAAGACTTGTCAGCCTGCCTGACAGAACTGACCTAAGAGAAAAAGTAGTTTCCAGAGAGGATAACTTCCTAGCATGTCTGATCACACTGATTGCAACTGTAGGTAGTAAGCCCCTATCTTTCTGTTCTATGACCGCACCCTCACCATCTCTGACATAACTGAAGGAACCTATTTAATTTACAGCAGAAATTGTGAATTCCTTCTGTAAAGAAGCATTCATTAAAAAATTTCCCTTCAGTCATATACAAAAAAAAATCATTCACTAAATTGTTTTTCATCAAGTTTTCTGGACAATCTCTATTATACCTCTGTTCTACAGATTGGATTCCTGAGGTTCTTTCTTCACTCTGAGTCCCTCAGTGTCACTGATGGCAGAACTTCTGCAACTCGTAATGTAGTAAATCTAATTGAAATACTAAAAGAATCTAATACTTCCATGGACTAAATTCCTGTTGGATTCCTTAGAAACAATAAAGCATTGGCCTTTTCTTGATTTGATTTGTAGACACAAAAGCATTCCAGGAGGTGCAGAATGAGTACCTCACCTTGCCCAAGCCCAACACAAGTCACAAACGCCCAAGAAGAATCTGAATGCATAGAAACGACTCATGCAAGAAAGCTACTACAATTAACTCTTTAATGCTGAGTCTATTTCTGCTGTAAACTATGTTTCAAAGTGTGATGGTTTTAAACTGGTTTAACTGACCCTAAAATGAACGACAGCAACTTGAAATAAAGGGATTGTTGAAGCACATGCTGAGTAGAAATCACAATTTACTGCAGGCTGTTGCAAGGCAAGAAAGTCAAGTGAAGAAGGTTTTGGTACAAGTGAAAAGTCAGCCTTTATTGACAGAGATTTTTCTTTTTACCTTTGTCATGGTTTAGCTCAGCCAGCAGCTAAGCTACCCACACCACCGCTTGCTCACTCCTCCCCCCGGCTGGTGTGGGGAGGAGAAAATCGGGAGGAAAGGGCTAAACCGGTGGGTTGGGATAAGGGCAATTTAATAGGGCAATACAAGAAAAATGAGAAGGGATAATAACTACAATACTACTAGTAAAAGAACAATACAAAACGAGTGCTACAACTCTCACTATGTGGAACTCAGAACTCAGCCCGCTCCTCACCCTCGACCCTCAAAGTGAACTCCCCCTGGCTACCTCCCCCACTATGTACTCTGATCCTGACATCGAATGGTATTGAATAGCCCCCTGGCCAGGCTGGGTCCCCTCTCAGCTTCCCATGAAAAAGTTAACTCTTTCTCAGCCAGGACAACCTTTCCAAATTAACTGCAATTTTAGAAGAATTTTGAAAGCTAGTTTGACTGTAAGCGAAACTGAATGGTCAAGAACTTCTGAAGGATCTGCCAGAATTTTCCCATTTCCCACCTTTCTGATGTAATCAGAAGGTATTTGGACTGAGAGAATATTCCTGAGGTCGTCTTTTATCTGCATAAACAATGCCTCCATACGGGAGGGACCTCCCTGTGGTCTCCAACTCAGCACACTGCATGCAACAAATTCAAAGTGCAGGTATTTGGTAATATCACAACCATGTTCTTGAATTTACTCACTTCTTTTTCTGCAAGTTTTTTTTGAGCTGTGCACACTCAGGATGTTTTCCTGTGGAAAAGACAACAGGCTTATGATTGAATTCAATACAGAAGGTGAGGTATCGCACCACCTTCCCTGTCTTGAGTGTCAAAGTAATCTATCTTCTGAACATATAGGAAGCAGCCATTCAGCTGGCTTGTCACAATATAAATTAATTTGACATTTTTTCCCATGGTGATCAAGGCAGTAGCATCCATGGGAATGCTTATTTTCCCAGTCAGAATTCTATTCTCTTTCCTCCCATCACCGTACTTGGAAGTGTTAGAGACCTATTTCCTTGCATCAGCACAATCCCCAAGGGAGTACACTACTCCTCCGCAGGTCAGCATGATGTGGAAGACCAAACCTATAGGCACTACTTCAGTCCAGGGATTGTTTTCTGTGTCATGTCCGAGCTGTCTTTGAGGTAGTGATCTGGTCTGTTAACTCCTCCAGTGACACTAACTGCTGACGTTGCACTAGAAGCAGCTGCCATACATGGCATCTCTGTCAGTTTCAGCCGTACGTAATCAAAACATGTAAGCTCAAAACTATAAGCAAAACCCTCATCATTAAAACTTACATCCTCTTTCTAGCCTCCTGAAATCATTACAGAGTCAATTAATGACCCGATCATGTGGAAAAGAAAGTAGTCTTTCAAGCACATTCTAGCTTCCTGTCACTCAAAATCATTACCATCTGAGTCAGAGGGCCAGAACGACTTTTGAGCATCAGCATGTCATGGCTGGTAGCCATCAGTGTGTTGGTTGAGACCCCAGGAAAGTGGATATAGGCAAAAATCTTTCTGGAATATGTGTATCTTTCTTCTTTCCTGAATTTCACTTACTAGCTCAGGGCCAGGAAACCCTGGTTCTCATTTTATACACAGATGTCATCCTCCTTGAAGAGCCTGTCATGTATCTGACAGGGTCTGAGCATGAGTTCTGAAGTACCCACAAGTCCCTGCATAAACACTGTTCACTACCTCTTTAAGCTCACACATGCAGGCTATGAGCATGTAGAACAGGTAACCTTTCTCCACAAGGGACCTGAGGATAAAATCAGAGCTGTGAGCTTTCATGGACGCACATCTGAACTACACTGCCACTTTCAGCAGTTTCTCTTTATTATTTTGATATGTTATTTCTTTTCTGTGAACTGCATCTTCCCACATTCAGTTTTCCAAGTCCAAGGCAGAGATGATAGTATGAGCTTTCAAACACTGGTTGTTATGGTGAGATGCATGGTGTCATAAAATACAGCTGCTAGAGCACAGTACACTACAGGTATTGAAGTGTTGAGGGAAACACAATCTATCAGCTAAGGGCTATCTGTGAAGTTCTAGCATGAGAACACAGAACAGGTCAAGTAAGAAGTAGAAGAAAAATAAAATGAGGCACTTTTCTCATGAACCTTCTTTCTCAACTGTCTGGAGTGAAACAACTAAAGCTATATGTAGCATGACAGAGAAAATCAGTACCACCCCACAGTTGGGAGCACAGGCTGAACACTGACAAGAGCAGGATCTGGCTCAGCATTGGCAGGGACTGTGCATGCTGGCCTCCCAGAGAAGTAAACTTATTAAGTAACTGCTAGCAGGAAATATATCCTGCTGTTTGCCAAAAGTATGTTACTTTTCCCAGGAAATATTAGGATTTTGAAAGGAACCCAAACTGCACTTTAAAGATGCAAACCAAGGTAGTGACATCTGTTAGAATACTACTTTGTACTGCCTTGCAACACTGACAAGCATCTTTGAGTGGTGGACAAAAATATGGCTAGTTTAAGTTTCTCAGACTATCTCACATTTACGAGCCATCATATGCATTTCAGCTGGCTCAAGAATGCCAGGTGCTTTTCTGAGGTAGGTGGTATGATCTTAGTTTCTCCCATCCATGCTCATTCCATAGAGGTATTTAACACTATCTGTCCATACAGAGCAGGCCCAATTGACCTTCACCTCCAACAGCAATGGTGCATAAGGATTCCTTTCCAAGGTGCTGGAAGTCTGAACTGTATGTCAGGACCCAAAGCTGCTGTTCATTGTGCCCTCTGATCTGTTGGAGAAAAGCAACTGGATCCAGATTCAAGATGTGCCCCTCACAATGGGAATAAATGCGAATTGGTGAGAACCTGTGACTAAAATCTACAAATCAACTGAGATCTCAGCCCATAAATTGCTGTGATAAGAAAGGTCTAGAGGTCAAGCTTCGATGTTACCCAGGCAGGCCAGGAGGCTAAGGCGTAGAACAGCACTCCTACAGCACTACTGAGGCAGGACTGACAGCCTGGGCTAAGCCATCTTGGGACTATGGGATCCATGGATCATGATACGAAGTATTCTGTTTATTCTCACTGTTTTGTGTGTCACTCCAGGCTTTCTGCAGCATACTTTTCAACGGCTACTCTGACAAGAGATTTATTATTTTCTGTCCTATAGCTCTCCTTTGTGCCTTTTACAAGAACGTGGAAGCTTTTTAAAGTAATAAATTTACTTTTACATACCTCTCACCAAGGTAAGAGATAATTAATCCTCCCTTCCTCTGCCCTCAATTTACAGAGTGTATGCTCCTCCCTCCTCTGCCTCTGTTGAGTAGAAATGAAGTACAACGAGATTCGAGTGGACAGTATCCCTGTCCCACAATTTTCAGTCCAGCTTCTGGGGCTCCTCAGCTCTTGGGCTTCAGCCCATTCTCCCCAATCCACTGACCTATTATCAGCCAGTGCTTCTCTTTATTCTCTCACTATTCCCTAGTTTGTCCTTATATCTTTACCCTTCCGAATCCCTTCCCACCTCTGTTACCCTCACTCATTGGTTGTCAGTCACAGTTGTCTTGCTCACACCATCCCAGCCACCCCCTCCACAAACTTTATCCAGTCTCAGTCTCACCCTTCTTCCCTGTGGAAGTAATTTAAACAGTCATTTAAACTCTACAAGATCTGGTGACAGGATAAGTAATTCAAAATACACAGGTTTGCTTTCAAACTTGCAGGAGAAACTTGCACAGAGCAAAAGGGAAACATGCTGGTAATCTTGGCTGGTCAGAATTTGGGTGGAATCTGAAGTTCAGATGCTGTGCTGAATTTGAGAAAATCTACAGAAAAAAATCTACAGAAAATTCTTGCTGTCACCACAAGGAGGTATACTACCTGTGACTGTTGCCTGGGCAACCCAGTAAAAATGATAGTGCCATGCATTCTGTATGTCAGTTCAGCACTGATATATCATGGTATACTGCTCCTCAAGGGTGTTTCTGGTTTGAAATTGAGGTGATTTGTTAGGCTGTCTCTCAAATAGAACTATACAGTTGAGAGTGCTGTGGTTTTGTTCAAGTAGTCACTGTTACTGCAGTCTCTCCTCAGGGAACAGCAGCAGAAGGAAGCTCAGGAAACAGCCAATACCAGGAGAAAGACATACCAGACCACTATAACTGCAACTGTGCAAAGGACAGTATGTGGTGCTAATGTTGCGTGTGGATGAGGTCTCTTTTTCAGTCGGAGTGTAGCAGGCTTGGGATCCTCTATCCCCGACTCCAAAACCCGAGGGGTTGACCTCGTCTCTTCTGGTGCTTTTTGCCAGAGACTCCAGTTCAAACCATTCTCCCCAGCTGCGGTGTAGAGCATATTTTTAACATCTCAACCCTGATCCAAGGGCTACTGAACGAACTATTTCTTGTCTAATTTGTTCAAAGGCTCGTTGTTGCTCAGGGGCCCATGTAAAATCATTCTTCTTTTGGGTCACTTGATAGAGAAGGCTTACAATTTGGCTCCATCAGTCTCCACTCTCCATTGGACTTTTGTACTGGCCATATGGGGCTGTTAAAAGGTGAGTGGGTCTTGCTGATCACTCCTTGGCTCTCCAGTTGACAAATCACCTTATGGATAGGAATCACAGAGTCTCGGTTGGTACGATATTGCTGTTGGTGCACTGTTGTAGTAGCAATTGGCACCTGTTGTTCTGCGACCCTCAGCAATCCCACAACAGAAGTGTCCTCTGAGAGACCAGGCAAAGTAGACAGCTGCTTGACTTTCTCTGTTCCCAAGGCGGCTACGCCAAAAGCCCACCGATACCCTTTTGGGCCCTTGAAATACCCTCTCTTAAGATAATCTATGCCAAGGATGCACAGAGCTTCTTAGCCAGTCACAGTGGGCGCTTTTGCCACTCCTTCCCAGTTAGGTTCACTTTGGTGTCCAACACAGTCAGCTGTTGGGATCCCCCTGTCACTCCAGAAATACAGATGGGTTCTGCCTCTCTAAAGTTCGAAGGCATCAGGGTGCATTGAGCACCATTGTCCACTAAAGCCTTACATTTTTGGGGGTCTGATGTGTCAGGCCATCAAATTCACAGTCCAGTAAATTCAATTGTCCCTTTCCTCCACCTGGCTGGAGGCAGGGTCCCTTTAATACCTGTTATCATGTCCATAATTCACTTCTTGTGCAGGAGGATCAACAGGATTAGGACTGAGGAAAGGATTAGTTTAGGAAAGGATTAGTGAGAAGATTAGCTCTCCCACTAGGTCTAGGATACTGCTTACTGGAGACTGGAGCAACAACTGTCCTGGAAGAACCAGAAAAATCCCTTATTTCTGGTTGCTTTTCCTTACAACTGGTGTATTGATGCCTCTAGGGCTGAAGTAGGTTTTCCATCCCAACTTCTCATGTCTTCTCCATGATCACACAGGTAAATCCACAGCCTGCCCCATGATGTATACTCTCTCTCTCGAATAGGGTAACGCTTGGTCCTAACAGCTGAAATTCTGGAACATACTGGTGGGGAATAGGACATTTCTTCTTTAAATTGTCGGAACTTCTGAGACAGTTTCTCCACAGCTGAGATGTAGGCCCGTAGAGAAGCAGTCTTTTCATATTGCCAGAGTTGAGTAACCACATCACCCTCAGGTAATGCATCGTATCTGACATCCATCACTTTCAGAGAGGTACAATACGATGGTGGCGTGCTCCATAGAACCTTCTACCACATGGATCATGTGCACTGCACTTCATTCAGATCTTTGGGTAACTGCGTGTTTCTTGGGTCATAATGAATCACTTCTTGCACGGATAGTTCCCTCAGGTACTAGATACCTCTCTCAATGTTGACCCATTTGCCTGGATTACCTGAAATCTTTCCCTTGAAGGGATAACTTTCCCTTACACCTGCCAGGAGCCATCTCCAGAGGCTGTGGACCTGTATCCCTTTCCCAACCACTTTATCAATGCTTCCATCCCTAGCAAGGGATCCTAGCCACCTGGCTTCTCTACTGTCTAAATCCAGGCTACTGGCCCCATTGTCCCAGGTGACAACGTGCTCACCTTGATGATGGCTGTAATCTTTTCGAATGTCTCGGAGCTCATTCAGAGTTAGAGATCGGTTGATTATTGTCTCATCTATGAGATCTTTGTCTCTCCTCCACTGAGTTCTTCCTTGGGGGGGAAACAAAACCTTCCTTTTTTCTTTCCCATTGTCATGACAGCCCTGCTGTAGAGTAACCTGCCTCCTCTTCCTCTTCTGAGTAAGTTGTAAGTTCCTTCTCTTCCTCCAGTTGTTGTGATGGCCCTGCTTTCTCTTCTCTTGCAATCATCATGACGGCCCTGCTTCCTCTTCTTCTTCTAGTTGTCGTGATGGCCCTAGTTCCTCTTCTTTTTTGAGTTGTCCTGATGGCTCTGGTTTCTCTTCTTCTTCTTCATCCTTTACTATGCATACTGACATTCATGTACAATTCCTCTTCCGTAAGGGAGAAACTGGTAGTGTTTTGATCTGAGTAGATGCAGTGCTTGTTGCAGAGGCTTGAGCACAGAGTCTGCATTTGCACCAAGCATCAGAAGCCAAGGTTTGAGTAGCTGCAGTGCTTGTCACAGAGGTTGAGAGAGCGAGTAAAGTAACACCAGTAATGAACTGATAGAAATTTCTAAATGGTTGATTAACCCTAGTTATATATATAATTTGACATAAAATCAGGAGACCTTGCAACAGGATTATACTGTTTAGACTATTCCAATGATATTCAATATTCTCAGAATTCTCAATAGCTTTTGTAAATGGTCTGAAGGGAGGGGGGAAAGTGAAAGGAGATGTCTCCCTCATGTATCAGCTCTCCAAAGGAAAAAAGCTACCAGTGTAATTGGCAACAATACTGGTGGTGCATAAAATTCATAAATGAGATCCACATCGCCACCTCCTTCTGCACTGCTGAATACAGGTACAGAACTGGTCCCAACACTCATGATTTTATCAGCACCACATAGCACAGCAACACGCTTAATTAGCAAAAAAATGCTTTTCATCTCAGTTCAGCACTCAGAGATAGTAAACTGCAAATAAATACTGACAAACAGCATACACGGTAGATAAGGTGCTAAATAATGCAACTTTGAAAATAACTCTGAGAGCACATAAACAACATTCCAGCCAGCGACATCCCAGAAAATATAATGAATAGTTATAGCAAATTTGTTTTAACATACTTTGGTTGAATCTGTCATTATCTCAACCCTTTGGGCCCCACATTGGGCACCACAAAGGACTGTTGTGGTTTAGCCCGGGTGGCAACTAAATGCCACACAGCCATTCGCTCACCTTCCCCCACTGCCAAGGGACGAGGAAGAGAATTAAAAGGGAAGAGAATTAAAGGGCAAAAGGGCTGAGACCCGTGGGTTGAGATAAGAACAATTTAATAATGATATATTAATATATATATATGTATAATGATAATATATACAGGCAAGTGGTGTACAGTGTAATTGCTCAGGACCCAGTATCCAAGGCCTGTCCCCTGGCTAACGATCTTGAAACAGGTTAAGTCCGAACATCGCAGTCCTGGATGAGCAAGAGGCCCAAAAAGAGAGCAAGAGAGAGACAGCACTTCAAGAGTCTGAGAGTGAGAGGCCCTAGAAGAGCAAAAGCTCTTCTTTCTGGTTAACCCTCATCTTTATACTGGGCATGATGCTGTATGATATGGAATATTTCATCAGCCAATTTAGCCCTCAATCCTAAGTCTAAATTCAAATCATAAGGGGAGTTGTGGACCCTCTGTCCCGACCATGCTCCTCCCTAACCCTGCTGTGCTCCTGCACACTGGCAAGAACATGGGAAGCTGAAAAGTCCTTGAGGCCTCAGTGCCAACTGTAAACATCAATGCGCTATCAACATTATTCTCATGAGTCCCAGACTAAAACCAAAACACGGAGCTCTTCTAGCTGCTAAAAGGAACTAACTCTGCCCCAGCCGAAAGCTGGACAAGACTCAATTTACCTTCACTCCGCAAAAAAAAGATATGTACCACAAAATCCTAATAAATGCAATTACTGATTTTAATTTCCATTAAAACCTCACAGACAGGCCCGGAACATCAGAAGTGTGCCTGCATGTCTGTCAGAGGATGACTTTAGAGTAAGATACTCTCATAAGCAGCCTTCATCAGAACATAGAAGTATGTGTAAACTATTTTTATTTCCCCAGCTCCTCCATAATGTGTAGCTGAGACATGGATTCAGGAGTGCTGAGAAAATAGGTTAAATCCTTGAACATAATGGTTTTTGAAGAGTACCAAAACACATGTCTATGATACATATATTCAGGTCCCTGCAAATAGCAAACCTTACCCTGGCTTATTTGACCAACAGATATAATTCTGCTAAATTCATGTTTCTCCTCTTGCCCATTAAGGTATTTTTAAAGAGAAAGTTATGTTCCTTCTTTCCCTCCTCAGTAAGTTTTTTAACCCGTTTGCTTACCATAGCGTTGGTGGCCCTCTCTTCTCTTGAATCTCTCGTGAGATTTCTGATGTATTTTTGCATTTGTGTAGCATGGGTGCAAATAAATGTGTCATATACTTCTCCAGTCTTATCATGGGAAATACAGATTTTAAAAAGCAAGCTGTATCACCTAGCAAAGTGTTGCAGTTTAATGTCCTACAGGATAGTAAGCTCTCTTACAAAATTAATACATTGCCACCACTTGGAATACAAGGGGAACGCAAGCAAGAGCATCGTGAATGTAAAAACGCAGAACATCCTCTAGTCAGTTCAGCTTTTCAAAATATGTGGCAAAACTTGCAAATTTCTCACTTTTCCTACTTTCTGAGACTAGAAATGGGGTTGATGGGGTTTTTTTTTCCACCATATTGAGGTGTGCAGCAGCAGAACTGTTGAGACAGCTGCAGTCCTATGTTTTATATCACTGGTAGGTGGAAACCTTCCTGATATTCTCATTCTTCAAAAGAAGGGACTGTAAGGACTCTCCTATCTTTCACTGATTTTGATTGCTTAAGTTAACTGACATAATCAGTAAGTTGAGCTGCTTACACAACACAGTCAGCAGCTTCCAGTAGTGATAACTCCCTATCATCTGCACATCTCCATCATATCTGGAACATTAGTTCTTAACTTCTGGGATTTTTTGACTGAGTCTATTCGTCCAACACCTAGCTTTTCAGCTTTCAGCAGCTTGTGTCAGGTAGCCACTACCCACTTTCCCTGTCCTTAATTCATCATCTGGATATTGCCTTTTAGTTAACAAAGAGAGAAATACCACAATGATATCAACAGGGACCATTAGTACTTTTCAAAGTGTTCACTGGAAGGACAGCTCCATGGTAAATGATTTTATGTAGGTCATTCCATGAGATGGGGCTGCTGCCTGATTATCTCTCATGGGTGTTAGTAATGCTACTCCTGAGAGTTTACAAATTACATTTAGAGCCCAGGAGATTTTTCCAGTTTGTGTTGGGGTTTTTTGTTGGTTTGGGTTTTTGTTTGTTTGTTTGTTTTGGGTTTGTTTTTTTTGTGGGTTTTTTTTTTTTTTGTACAGGCCTGTGGCTTTTTAAATCTTTCAAAGTATGGAAGAGATACTGGAGGAAGACAAAAAGTAAGCCATATGTGCCCCGGAGGAATGGCAGGAGTGTGGGATAACTAATCATGTGAATACCTCTGACGGCAGAGCATTTCTTTCTTCAGAGCTGTTAACTCATCATTTTTCCCCTAAGATATACATTTGTATAAAAGAAAAAAACAACCTGTGATTAATGTAAGTAAACAAGCAGTTCAATGTTTTCCAGTATTACCAGGTTCGGCCAAGAGAATACTGGAGGAAGGGAGAAATGGGGACAATTTATCACCCTTTTTGAGATCACACTGATCTCTGGGTGGACTCTGTCCACACGGCATAGCTTGATTTGGTTTAATTCCTGACTGATAACATTACCTTAAAATAGATAGTTCTTGCTTTATTTTTATTGGAGTTAAAATGTAGTGGTTATAAATATAAATGGTTACGGTCAATAAACCACTACGTGCAACAAATGCAAATTGACTGCTCATTAAGATATTCTGTTAGTATAAATGACCTGCAGAACCTGCTTTCATTTACACAGAAACTTGCTCCTCAAGCTTAACAACCAACTTTTTATTTCACACCTACAAATTTTCATTATAATGTTCTTTATCCTTAAAGCTCTGGAACAACTGCGATCTTGGGCAAAATGCCACAGCCCAAGTTGCAGGTAGTTCATAACGAAAGCAAAAGTTTGAGTGAAAAGAAGGGATATGTGTATAGCATTACTTTGCTGATACAGTCTTTTTCTGTTATACAATGATGTTTAGTCGAAACCACAGCAACACATCCTATTTGGGGTCAATTTTGCTTCAAGGGAAAAGGAATGAAGAATTTTTTACCCACACACTCCATTTGATTGTTGTTAGAACTGTACATGTATGTTTTATGCTTTTTAAATTATTTTTGTCTTACAAATAGTCTTACTTTGCTTATCTATGCATTGTAAGGCAAAATCTTTCCCTGTGTGCCGGAAGTCGAGCCGCCGGGGTAGAAAACCAGCTTGGATAACAAAGGAGATTTGGGAACATCTCAAAAGAAAAAGGGATGTCTACAAGTCTTGGAAGAATGGGCAGGCATCCAGGAATCAATACAGGGAGGAAGTTAGGGCATGTAGGGAGATAATCAGGAAGGCAAAAGCCCAATTGGAACTTAGACTAGC